ATTTTATCAATTTGACTGAGTTAAAATTTTAAAATAGGTGGCAACCCTCCTCAAAAATATTTCCACCAGTTATCTTTCTTAAACCTCTTTAATTTGATGCACATATTGTAATAATTAATTTATTTTATCAATATAATTGGGTTTAAAAATTTTCAAATAGGTGGCAACCCTCCAATTTTTTTTCGATATCATTGGTTCTGTTATTATACCGAAAAATACAAAAAAAAAATATTATTCAAATCAGTTCAGCCGTTCTCGAGTTTTGACAACCGTGACATACGAACACAATATTTTTATATATATAGATGGTTCATTCCGTAACCATAACTTCAACAAATTTTCATCTAAATTTTGAACTCCTTAGTCTGAATATATTAAAAAATTCTGGTTTTACAGGTACATTGGATATGTAATTCTAATAAAACAGGTGCAAGTTTTAAGCAACTAAAATCGTTTTGATTTTTAATGATTTTTCTCACGCGGCTTTTGCATTTTTTTTTCATATAAAAGGTGCAGTTTATAACAACTGGCGTTTATTTTTTTTAATTTTGTTTGCAAAAGGTCTTTCGCTTTTAATCCCACAAGAAATTTACTTTTATATGGTAAACAGTGCAAAACCCCGTCAGCAAAACCAATTCGTTAAAAATCAAGGCGTTCAAAATTAAAATAAAAATGTGTCGAATTTTTCAAAGTTTTGTATAAAGTTATGGTTTGTAGCGGATCTAGTTCTTACGAGTTTAAAAAATAATTCAGGCTACATTTTATTTCGGGTAGTAGTTGAGAAATTAAAACTTCGGTAAAACATCGATACATCGTTTTTATAACCGATGTTTTTTAACATCGATGTTTGTTGTGGGAACGTGGATGTTTTTAAGAGCGATGTTGTATCTGTAACTATGGCGCCTTTTGACTTTTTTCGTTGCAAAACTCATAACTTTTTAACTAAAGCAGATATTTTAAGAATTTAAATTGCATCTGAAAGTACAATATCTAAACTTTAACACGAATAGAAACACAGGGTGCCAAGATAACAAGGTGCTTTAAAATACATTGTAAAAATTGAGAAGTTGTTGAAAAGTGCAAAAACCAAAATCTTTTAGTAAATACCGCAGCAAAATTAATAAAAGTTAATTAATAATGTTTTATTCAAATATAAAATAGGATAAGTTAATAATTTTCGTGAAGGGGTGTGGCGCTGCTCACTTAGGATAAAAAGCAGTATTTGCATTTACTACTCCATAGTAGCAATAGTAACAAGCATATTGCGTCGCTTTTGCCATCGCTCTTCATTTGAAGAAAGCAGTAGTAGCGCAGGTAGTACAAAACGTACAAAACGTAGTAGCAAATAAAAAAAAACTGTGATAGCAGTGCGGAGCACAACAAAGCGAAATTTCTGCTTCTGATATTGCTATGGCTATTTCTCTCGCATCTGTTACAAGTTCTAAACTGGTGTTTCGTATGTTTTTTTAGTTCACACATTTATTTAAACTAGGAATTAAAATTGTACATTTGTATCATGGTGTAATAATAACAAGGTGTTGTCAGTAACTTAACCTCACTTTTTCGGCAGGTCTATTCCGGTTACGCATTTTAAAGTAATATAAAAGGTACTAATTATTTACTACTTTTAATCCGTTTGTGCATACTATTTCAAATTAAATGTAGAAAAATGTATAATTACAGGCTCATAAGCCTGAATATATGTTTGTATCGTCAGCTCCACACAGCTTGGACATATATTGTAAGTTATAAAAAAGTAAAGACCGTAAAATAAAGCAATTTCCTATAATACTGTTAATGATTTTTTAAATAGATTAAAACACATAAATATCGATAATATAAGCGAAATCGTAATTTAACCGCTATATTCTAGTGTATCAGTAGTCCATTTGGCTCGATATTATGACAATGCAGCGAAAGATATTCAATATAAAAAAATCGCCTTTCCATACGATTTTTGTGTACGTGTTTTTCCATTGATAACCACGATATCTTTTATATTTTATATTTTGAGGACAAAAATTATACAAATCCAGCAATTTTAAATATTAATATCGTTCTGAAAACACCAAGTTCTTTAAAAATCGCGGTACTACTAAATGGAGATTTTAGATACTATATCCCAACGAATAGTAGTATAAAAATTAAGATCGGCAGCACTGAAAATAAGCATGCCGATGTTGTCAAAATTACAACAAACACGTCGCTACTGACAACACCTTGTTATTATTCCACCATGCATTTGTATGTATTTCATTCCGTAAAGATAATTCAAAAGAGAACTTAAAATACCACATAATACATTTTCGTACTTTTATTAATCGTCGTCTTCTTCAAATAAGAATCAATTTTCGATGGCATTATCCAGATGGCCGAATTTGGTTTTACTAGTAGGATGTTTTCTAATTTGTCGTGACTAAGTCGATTGCGGTTGTCAGCTAGGACTAATTTCAGGGAAGAAAAAGTCCGTTCTGTTGTGACTTTAGAAAAAAAAAAAATTATAACATTTTATTCAAGGCGTATTAATATA